GTCCGGTTTTCTGAACATTATTTAACAAGTGGATTCAAATACGTTGGGTACCAATCTGGTTGAGGAGCTGAAATCGAAGATATCACCGAGTTATAAATATTTTTAATTTAAAACCAGGTGATTTATTTGTTTCAGTATGTAATGTGATGACTGAGTTGGTAGTGTTTAGCACTTGAATTTGAAGACGAATTTATATTGGTTATTATTCATAATCCACTCTGTTTATCGTTGACAAATAAGGGTATTTCTATATCATGTTTTGTGTGTTATATAGGACTGAAAATTTGAGATTTTATTATGTAATAGAAATTGAATTAAAATTTAAATATTTTATAATTATCTTTAAATCATAGCCCGCTAATTGTATTTGTACGTACTCACTACTCAGAAAATTAGAACAGGATAGTTTCCAATGCTACATAAGGACAAACGGACACGTGGATATAATACTTTATGCCACCTAGCAATTCCCAATTTCCTTTTATAGCTAAAACTCAGACAAGAACTCTCCAGATTAAACTTTCAAATTCAGTTTGCCCAGTTCAGTTTCAAGATCCATGGAAGCTGCAAAAGAAGATTCACGTTTGCTGAACAAGATAATCCCACCACGCCTCGAAGATGCGGGTCTCGAAGACTGTGCTTTGCCGCCTGACGCCATCAAGGAAGCCTTTTTTAAAGCCGCCTCCGTTGTCAAGTCACGCGCCACCTCTTTCTTCCACAGCGACGACGAAGAGGAAGACTGCCTGGACGACCCCTGGCCCCAGACCAAGGACGTTTCCGACACTGTGGTAGGAGTTTCCTCGCTCCCGGAGGCGACTGGGCCGTGTGGGGTGGTGAAGGGTGGTGGGGTTGTGGAGGAGGGTGAAGATAAAGTGGTGGTCACAGGTGGGGGTGGTGGTGATGACGTGGCAGAGGAAAAGTATGACGTGGTGGTGGGTGGTGCTGGTGACGTGGCGGAGGGAAAGGGAGGGAGTGGGTGCGTTGAAGGGTTAAAGGGCTTGAAGATTGAAGATAAAGAGAAGAAGGAAAATAAAGAGAGTGAGAGGCCAACTTTGGTTAAAGGATTTGTGTGAGATTAGATTAATTAAATAATAATTAGTATAAATTATTCAAATGGAAGTGTTTTTGATTTTTGTTTTTGTTGTTGCTGTTGCTGTTGTTGTACTTCAGTTATGAAATGTTAAACAAATTTTCGAAATGTTATTCAATTCTGGTAAATTTTTTGTAGTTGAATCGAATTGGTCAATTAAATATGCACAAATTAAAGTATTTTAGAAAGTCCTGTAATTGAACGAGTAATCTTAATTTTGTATGTCACTGAAGTTACGAACAATTGCTATAATCTGAGATGCATTGAGCTTGTTTATTTGCCTTGCTCTAGAAATTTGGAACGAGGAAGCATGAAGATGATGGTTTGGAGGAAGGATCATTGGGCCTTAACACCAGCCCAAAGTCAGACGAGTAATCCTCAGTCCAATCCAAATTCATCTGCTGGCAGAGTTTCACCAAGTGAAGCCCAAGTGTAAGTTGTGCAACGTGTCCTGATCTAACCAAATAAATATTGTTTGTGTTTGTTTCACTTGCAGGGTTTTGTTTTTCAGTTTCACCGAGCCGTTTATGAGACATCCCACGTTGCTTGGGAAGGAGGGTGGTAAGAGTCACTCCAATAACTTAGTAATTGGGCTGAGTTATGGGTCTTTCATAGGCTTGGATAGTATTTTTCTTAGAAAACCGGGTGTCTTAAGCCTTTTATAACCCATATGTCCAATCATTTTTCCTCTCAATGTTGAATCCTAACAAA